TGGATGTTCAAAATTCAAACACCCAGTTTGACTATGTTTTAATCCATTCCTGTATTTCTTTTACTTCTCCATAGAGCTGACTTGTTTATTTCGTATTTGAAGTCATGACTTATTTTATTATCTTGACAAATTCTTAGATTAGTTCAGTTTTGCATGCTTGAATTATACCTTCAATCCATAAAAGCTATAATGCACAATTCATGTAGGAGCTAAGTTAAACAGCTCAAGCTTGTGATACTGAATATAATTCTTAAACTACCTAAGCTTCCTAGTTCTTCATGCTGCTATCGCTCTAAATGTAAAGACTGACTTCTTGCTTGTTCAATAGGTAGTTTTAAATGAAAACCTTGAACTGGTTAATAATTATGAAATAGAATTTGGATATCAGTGTTTGCTATATTAAAGAAGAGCATAATAAAGAAAATATGATGGGCTACATTAACCAAGCAACGGCACGAAAGGAACCATGAACTGGATCTTTTTTATTAATTTTTTAAAGCCACATTTAATGCATTTTGTCACTTTTGGTAATGCGGACTTATACATTAAGTTCAACTCACCATCTCATCCCCAAATTGATTGTTTTTATTTAACAACTATTACAATATTATTGCAATTGACACGTTTTCATCATGGGACTAACCCTATGGAGGAGATTCAAGAAAAAATATATTCTATGTTCCCAGCATGCAATCTGTCATGGATTCTTAGTTTTCCAATCACCACTCGCATGCAATCAGTGGCATATTGGAAAGTAATGCCTTTAGCTTTTAACATGTTCTCATCATAAATATAAATGTACTCCCAAAAATCAATTTCAGTTTTCTAAAATCTAAACAACTTTTCATAGTATTTTCTTCAAAAGAAGGTGTAAAACGGAAGGTAAACCAATAACTAGGAAATTTACTTCCACAAGCACTTCTTTCATTCTTTATAATCGCTTTATGTGCTGCATGACCAAGTGATGCTATCAGATTGCTAATTATGGAGAAGTCAGCCTTACCACCCAGGGTGTCCGCCGATGACCACTCAAGACCTTTAAGCATTTCCCAGTTGAACAATCAATTATCTTTACAGTATGATCTCCACTGCAAACATAAAAACATGGAAGAAGCTATTAAACAATGAAATATAAAATACACCATACACATAGATAGATGAGCAAAGATAGAGACTAAACTGCGTTGATGCAAGAGTAGTCCCATCAGGACTAAAAGCTGCAGCAATAGTTGACCTCGGCGGAGGCTGTAACGGGCAATACTTGGCTGATAAATGCAGCAATGACTCAGCCTCCACCCTGTTTCCCAAACAATGATATAAAGAAGTCAAAAGTTCTTCACTTCAATGTAAATGTCATATGAAATCATTAATCCACAGAAGACGACAGAGGAAAATATTATACCATGAACGGAGCTCTTGCCTAACATCTTTTGCTGATTCATGTTTAGTTCCACAGGAATCATTACAGGGGCTTGAAACCTTACCCCAAAATCTTTTAGGAGATCTCTTTGTGTGAGGGGACAGCTCTCTTCGAGCTAACAAGTGGAATACATTACTGCACGTAAAACTCAATCCAAAGTCAATTAACTATTTGACATCAGGTGTGCAAACATAGTAATACTATTAAAAAAAGTTTAGTAGAATACACATAAAGAAGGCAGCTAAACTAATAGAAATGGTGCATGAGTACCAAAACTATCTTAAATGTATTTTTAGAACCAATAATCAGAAAGGAAACAGCATACATTGTAAGTCATGTATATTTTCCTCTCCAATTGTTAATTTGATTGATACAAATCAAATAGTAACTGGAAGGCAAGCTTCTCTTGCAACAAGGTCAAACATTCCAAAAAACTAACAAATATCAAGTTTTGCATTAAGTGTATTTGTGCCAAAAGCCTTTTAAGTTATTTTAAGCTTCTAACCAGCCACATTTATCACATGTAAAAAAATAAATATGTTTACAGTTCGGAGATCAGATTCACACTAAAATCGAGCCTGGCACTTTGCAGCACAATTACCTTGAGATATCTGGAGACTTGTCAGAAAAGTTAATAAACAAACATTTAGCCCAATAACAGCCAACAACGCAAATGAACTACACTTTCGGAAATACACAGAAGACTATATGTTAGCTGGATACCAGTAAAGTTACCAACAGAGAGTCAATAATCGTATATTGATCTATCGCATTAATGTCTAACAACTAAACCAATTAGTTATAAGACTGCTATTTAGACTCCTAAACCTGAAGCTCAATTGGGAAGCCGCCTCATGTTAAATCAAAGTCACATATGGCCGGGGAAGGAAAAAAACACATCTATGAGCTTAAGCCAGATCACAATTTAAAAAATTGTTTTTCTATTTGAAGAAAAAAAAAACATGTATATAACAATGTACCAAATAGCAGATCATGCATTTCGTTTTCATCGTTGATCTCGCACGAAGAACCACAGATCGAATTAAACCCCGATCTCAATTATGACTATGCAGCAGCGCGTAATCACCAGAAAGTAGCTCAATAATAATAATAATTAATAATAGTAATAATAAAGATCTATAGGACACTGCAGAAACTGAGATGCGAAACTGAGCTGAAATTCAGAGAACAAAATCGAACCTTCGCCTAGAACTACAGCGGTCGCGAGGGCCCATCGATGGACCCACCAGCTGATGGAACTCCGACGCACGAGCGGCGGGGGAATTCTCCGGCCACATCGACGATGAGCTCATAATAACCAAGGAAGAAATCAATAATATAAATCAACAATTCATGATTTCTCGTAATTACAAATCTGGAGCGTCCTTTGATCGCTTCCCAGCAGTCTATTGTAAATATGGATTAGACGGTCTCCGGTTTAGAGCAATTTAGCGAGATGATGTGCGGAGGAGATCCCGGCGGTGGGGCGGAAGGATGAAGGAAAATTCCAATGGAGGCTGAGATGGAGGTGTTACGGATTTTTTCGGCTCTCAGACAAGTGGCAATATTTGATTGCCATAGGGGCGTTCGCATTTACGTAAGTACCCTTCCGTAGGGATTTTATTTGGTAGAATCGAGTATGAGCCAACACGACTCTGTGACGCGTTGGAGTTCCTATTTGATTTCGGACATGAGAGGCCTACGTCAACTAGAAGAGAGACCTACGTCATTTACAATAGAGCCCCTACTTTTTATCAAAAATACGTGATGCGTCATCCTTTTGCGATATACTACGTGCATTTACAATGCATTGAGTTTAATCTTTATGTGACGTGTAAATTCATAAAATCCATTTCAATGCAAAGAGACTAGGTCTCTACTTAGGTGTTTGCATTGTAGAAGATGGAATACAATTTTTTATTATTGAATTCAAAACATTGTAGATGCTCTAAAGGGAGTACAGGGGTATTTATTTAGGATTTCTAATAATTTTTAAAAATTTAAAAAGTTTTAGTGTATTTATTTAGATTTTTTAAAATTTTTAAAAATTGTAAGATATTCATTTGAGATTTTAAAAAATGTTAAAAAAATGTTGGAGTATTTAATTATTTGATACTACGATTTGTTAAGATTTCTTAAGATGCCTCCTCGGCTTGGCGGCTTTGTCTGTCTTGGTTGACCTTACGGCCGAGCGCCTTTAATCGAATGTAAAGGTGGTATTTGACTGTCGGAGACTCTGGTTCGAAAGGGGCCGCCCGTATTCAGCTACGGAGATGGAAAAAAGGCCTCGGTCCATTGCTCGGGTGTGATACAAATACTTCTTTGAAGTTGGTTTCAGCAGATAGCATCTAATTTCTTCTTGGTAAGCTAATCCTCATGCCCCTTTCGGGCAAGAGAAAAGTGTTCCGGTGGGAGGGACGATTGATAATGTAGATTTCAATGTCGATATCTTGGCTTGGAGGAGAATCTTCACCCGAGTCGTTCTCTTGATCTCCTCGTCTACTGCTCTAAGGAAAAAACATATACAAAATCTCACCTCCAGATGTATTCAATTAAGATTTCTAAAAACTTTTTAAAACTTTGGAAATCCTGGTATATTCAATTTAGATTTCTTAATTTAAGACTTTTAAAAGTTTTAGAGTATTCAATTGAAATTTTAAAAAGTCTTACAAAATCCTGAGGTATTTAACTTATTTGAGACTATGATTAGTTAAGACTTTTTAAGATTTAATAGAATTTCTAAAAAAAAATCTTATACGAAATTTCACTTCAAATCTCACCACCCGACTTAAAATATCACATAATTCTTTCAAAATCTGAAAATCTTAAAAAGTCTCAAATATTAAAAAGTCTCGAAATATCACTTAAAATCACAATTGAGTACACCCCTTTCAAATTTCACATAGATTTTATTGAGCATAATTTTCAGAGTACATGGTATGAACCATTTGCCTGAGAAATGTTTTATGTCCTTTGAATAGTTCGATCCTCGTCGGTTCAAATTAATTATAACTATTTGCAATAAATCGAAAAAATGGTTTATATGCATTAGCACTCCAACCACCATATCAACACTATCTTATATTTTACTGTATGTCATAGATGTGCACAACATGTGTGGTGTTTGTATAATTGTATATGTTGTTCTATGCAGTGTGCTCTATATATTTATACTACCACATTCTCCAAAAACCAATTCAACATTATTTTACCGTTAGATCTCGAAATTTTTTTAAAACCGTCATCAACTCATGGTGAAAGACAGTGATTATGTAATTTTTGGTGCGTTTAAGAGATTTATTTGTAACTTCTATTTGTATTATTGAATTTTTTTTTTATTTTTATTCACTTGTTGAATATTTTTTTTCTTAATTATCGCTGCAAATAACTTACTGTGTTGGTAATTTCGTAACGTCCATCTTTATTTTTTTTAAAATTGTGAATACTTTTATTTAATATTTTCTCTAACAAATCGTATCTATGAAAATAAAAGTTTAAAAATATATAGAAATCACATTTTTAAAATAAATTTAGTTAAAATACAAATATAAAAATATAATAATATAACCATATACTAATTACTTCTTCTCCCTTCTCTCATTTGAGATATAATAATAATCCTTCAAAAAGTGAAGAACATACGGGGAATGCCTCAAACACAACTAAATTGAGCTTCTAACACTCAAATCATATGAACTAATTACATTTATTAACTGATCAAAAGTTCTTGATCGGCTTTTGTCCGAGCTTTTTTGGCGGTCGCTTAGTATGGCTCAAAATCCTCAAGCTTTGTTTCAATATGTCCATCTCTCTCTCCCTCTTGGACTCTTGTACTTCCATTTTGGCTACCTTTGCTTGCAGAGTTTGAATCACTTGTCCCCTGGCCTGCACTTCATTCTTCAGCTCCACTAGAAGCTCTTCCTTCTCTGTTTTCCACCACAGCTTTTCTTCTGGAGAACATGAAAAGTTGGCTTCATCAGCAGAGGGTTAATTACTAGTTCAATTAGACATATTAAACTATATCGAATTAATAAAGAACAATAAGATTTCTCACATGGTCACAAATGAAGGGTAACACTTTGTAATATTTGTAAACTTATTCCATTTAAGACACCAGCATGTTTGTATACAAATATTTTCACTCCAAAATTTATTCAACTCAAAATTTAACTCAACTCAAATATCCTTAATATTATTAATATAATTAAATACTGTCATCCAATCATTTTTACACATCACATCTACTCTAATTCACTATTCATCCACTCACGTAATTTTAATTAATCATCATTTCATATCATCTATTTCCTATTTTTACATGAAATCAGTTTTAATAATTTTATTTTAAATATTATTTTAATATAAATTCAAAATCCTACTAACAACTAACTATACTATCTTTTTCCAAATTAACTCTAGTTAACCTCCAAAGGGGTTTCTCAAACTCAGTTAAACAAATTAATGGTCATTTTCTGTACTCATCCCTCAAATGACAGAACAAACAAACCCGGCCTGAAAACAATGAAAATTATATACTATCCATAAATCATAATTATACTTTAATTTTGAAAAAAAAAAAAAAAATCAAAGAAAGGAACAAACCTTGATGTGTGCGGTGAATGAGATGATCAAGCTCATCCTTGATAGCAAAATAGAGTTGTTTCCACTTATTCTCCACAAGATTTGCCTCATTCGTCCCAAGCTCTGAATGAATAATTTGTTGTTGTTGGTTATGTTTGGAAATGAGTGCGTGATAGAGCCTCTGTTTCTCTCTCTTCCACTCGGCTTGCTTGAGAGCAAAAACCATGAGCTCACGCTCGTAGGCTTCGCTCTCGGCCTCTCTAATGCGCAAGATCTCGTCCACTTGGCCTTGTAAATCCCTCACCTTGTTTTTCAGTCCTTCTACAATCCTTTCACTAGGGCTGATGCGGCCCTTCTTCTCTTTTGCTTGAGAACTACCCATATGCGGCCTACTCTAATTTGTTCTCTCTATTGAGGTTNGTGACACTTCATATGTCCCACCCAAACCACGGCATTCATCACATCATTGATAGAGATAGATAAAGTTGTGTTTCTAATCATGTCCCCACTGAAAATTTCGTAAGCAAACGTGTCCTTGTTTTTTTTTTTTTTTTTTTTTTTTTTTTCGTTGTGCCTCTCCGCCGACGGGTGCTCTGCAACCCCAAGGTTTCGTCCAACAGCTGTGCGGCGGCGAGCACCCAACGGGTCTTCTTGCCTCTTTCGGTATGGCGCTTCACCTTGTTTGGTTGGCTATGGCAGGGTGTAGGCAGGGTTCCGAAGGCTTGCTGGTGAGTTTGTTTTGGCAAGCGCTGTCTTTCTCGCGGATGTCGGGCTTTGTCCGGTACCTTGCGGTTCCCCTATTGCCATTCTCTCCATTGGTGACGGATCTAGAAATTTCACTCAGGGGAGTCCGATTTTAAAAGTTAAATAATAAGCTTGTTGTTTAAGTCGAAACACTCATTTCATATAAAAATGTATTTGCTATAAATATAAATAGAGATACGTATACCATCAAGTTTTTTATAACTTAGAATTCATATCACCTTCAAACTTTTAAAATAAATAAACAAAAAAATAGAAGTTTCGTGTATTTATAATTTAAATTCAACATCTATAATTTATGGAAAAATAAGTTTTTTGGTTGAAAAATTAAATGAAATTGAACTTGTACACAACATTGCATAACATTTTTATAGATGAAAGCTTATCTTTTTTTTTTTGTTCGGAACTATAGAGGTTTTATAAGTGCACAAAAGTGCAAACACTACCAAACAGATAAGCTTTCATCTCAGTTGTGCGCTTTTTTATACAACTGAGAGCTAAAAAATTGGGAGGCTGATTCTGAAATTGCCTAGAGACTACGCTAGCAACGCTAAACCAAGACAACACTACCAAACTAACTAAAAAACACTACAAAGCTCCAATAATGGAGAATTACAGATCTCTAAGGATAATACTTGCTCACACTCGGGCACACAGAGGTCAACGACCCAAACCAAAAAAAGGACACCTAAGCAAACAACTAAAACACTAACAAACACTCTTAAACAAAAAAAATGAAAAATCTGAACCCTTCCAAAGCTTATCAAATGAACATTTTTTAAAGAAAAAGTAAATAAAATAAAATATACATGATTACACAAAAAAGAAATCAACATTGAAAAATGTAACAATCCAACTAAAAAATACTCGATTTTATAAAAATCGCTAAATCGATTTACAATTAAGAAACCGAAAGAATAAATCATTATAAATATTTTCAAAAACTTATCTAGAAATTTTAGATATATGAATTGTTAGTATATTTTTTAAGGTAGCAGCTGCCGGTTTTTGGTGGGGGAGTTGCTTGGTGCGGGTCTCCAGGTGTTGACCTAGTGGCGACCATTTTGGGAAGGCAGTGGGTCGCTCTGTACGGATCGAGTTAGTCGTGGGGGAGTTTCTTGATCCGTGTGTTGGTTAACTAGTGTGGTTCTAGACTGTTCTCGGATTGTCCTACCACTAGATTCAGCTGTATCGCTGATTGAGTCAGCTGTATTGATTATTATCTAGTTGTACATGTGTTCTTATTTGTAAAACTCTATCATTCAAAAAAAAAAAAAATTATCCGTTACATAAATGTCAAATCCCAATTTTTTGGAATGGCCGAGTATGGAACAAAGATTTTGGAGATTAAGAGAATTGCTTTGCTTTCATTTTTATTTCATGAAAACAATACAACTAAAAAATGGTCGGTACAAACACAATTTGAAAAAAAAAAAAAGAAAGTATTATACAAAGTCCAACATAAATTTATAAATCCATCACCATCTAGAAATACAAAATAGCCAAGAGTTCACAAAGCAATAATTTCAAATACAAGAAGAAAATAATTTCAAGTATGGAACAATGATATATGCATTTTTGTTAATCATTATTTTATTTTGAGACACCATTGCGAGTCATTCCATTAGGTAGTTCGAATTAATTATCAGTGACTTAGATCCTTTTAATTTATAGAAGGTGCCATCTTTCAAACGATTTGTACTAGTATCGTTATGGTCGTATGCTAGCTAAATAATGAGTATACGTGAAACGCGTGCCTAACATGAACAAACAACATTCTGTGAAGATTCTATCAACGCTCCTTTCATTTTCATAGATGTCTCCTGATTATTTCAAGATCACTATTTTTGAAAAATATTAATAAACAAAACATTTATTGCACTGTGCCAAATTTGCTTGTGAGAGGGGGGGCTCCCTTCGTTGACCCCATTACCCGGATGTACAATATACCTAACACTGAAGAGCCATAAATTAAATATCTTAATAAAAAAAAAAGGACTCAGTCATACATATTGATTGATATATATGTAGCGGAATATAGTCACATCAGGTAAATTATATAGGTGCATTTTTGAGCTATTAGCTGAAAATTTCGTTTTAGGGCTAAACAGATTGAATGGTCCTACTGATTTTCAGAGACTATATATATTTGGAAAATTTAAGCAGGCGAAAGGGACTATGATATAGGCAGAATCCTATGAATCACAATATTGGACTTTTAAGTTGGCGGTGGGAATAAATTATTTTGGCTTCATTTCAATTTATTGAATAATGTGATTTAATTATGAATAAAATTGATTGAGTGGAAATTTCAGATTTATGTTTAAAATAATAATTAAAATATAATAATTAAGTTGATTTGATGTAAAAATAAGAGAGATGGTTGGAAGTGGTGAGTAGTTAAATTATAAGAGTGGATGAATAGTGAATTAAAGTTTATACATTTTGTGGTAATAATTTATTGATATTACGTAATTGTTTGATTATATTAATTAAGAAGAGTTAAGTTGGACTAATTTAAGTTCGATTTTAAATTAAACAATTGTAAAATAAGTATCGAGCAAGTTAAAATCCAATTAATTTTATTTCAAATCTCTGCCTTTATTCCCTTCCATATCCTCCCGCCATTGTTCTTAAGGCGAGACAAATGTTTGAATTTCTTTTATTCTCACTATATAATACTAATAAGTACATATCACCTGTAATACACGTAGTTATCATATATTGGTTAAAATATGAGATTACTATATTTGTTTGACATGTAAAAATTACGAATTTCGTGCAATACATACTTTTTAACCTTTGCACTCCTTCTACGGTTCTACCCTTCCGGGGTATTTCTTCATAAAAAAAAAAAAACAAAAAACAACCCTCTGCACCCCTCTTAGAAAATAATAATAAATAAGAAGCTTGGATAATATCAATCTAATAAGCGATTGCTAGAAATTATGACTATTTTTTCACTAGTTTATATATTAATTCAAGCTTGGAATTTTTTTTCATATATTAATTCAAGCTTGGAATTCAAATTTTACAGTTTAAAACTGCCAACTCTGTACAGACTTACACGGTCTACGGGATTGAACAGACAGGTTGACCTGACGATCTTCTGTTGTATGTTCTGACACCTCTCCAAGTTCATCTTTGTGGACGACAACTGCTCGGATCTCCCTCAGAGCATCACATGTGATCGGTGTTGGTGTATACTGTAAATGCTTGACTTTCAGTTTCTGATAATACCGTTTTGAATAAGAATCATGATTTAGTCAAATGTATGCTTGCAGTTTATTTATATATGCGAACACAGTTCCTTTATTTTAAATTATTGATAATATAGTTCGATGTGTCGTACAGAAAGATCATATTATCGGTGCCTTGTAAAAAATAAATTAATTGTTCTTAGCTCAGACATATTTGAACTAACTATCGTGAAAGGTTTTAGTGTGATTTCGATTTAGTTGGTCTTTGACTAATTAATTTCATTAATACATCTCGGATGTATTTGATGGACCTACAAAGGAGAAGATAATTTTATACTGACAAAGTAAATAATCTAGTCCTCATTAATTGCTACGTTCTCTTAACACGTAAACAATCCAAACATGCATATCTATTCCGTACTTGCTTATTTGATTTACCAAGGGTGAAACTTATTCCGATAAGTCAGCAGGCTCCGTATTTTGGAAAGTAGTGACCGAGTACATGTGCGCTGTAGAAATCACTTACGGTCACTGTGCCTTGGTATGTCGGGTTGATGACGTCCCTGAAATGAGCCCAGGAAGGATTATTATGATAAGCCCTGGAAGCGGATTAGTTTCCGACATAATAATAAAGAACTTAGTTGTACTAGTTTTTGATATAGAAGTTTATTAATTATATTGTTAGTAATTAAATTAATCAATGGACGTTAGATCTTAAGTATGAGAAGGTAATTCGAGCAATTAGGCAAGAGATGAATTATTTGTAGTCCGGGGGTTATGGGAGTTCAATAATATAATTATAATGGCGTTTAGTATAATTTGATTTTGTGTGGAGGGGGCCAGACCCACAGTTGGATGCATAACTCGCAAGTCCATATTTAGCACCTCCTTAGGGCCATATTTGAATGAACGTTTTATTATGTCCCGAGTTGTTGAAAATGAATGTTTTGGAAAAATGAATTCCCTATGAGCTTAAGGGACGACTTAAGCTAAGATTGAAAGAAAAGAAAGAATTTTTGAGTGATGCCCGAAAGATGTTTTATTTTGAAAAAGGTTTTCCAAATTTTAAATTATTTCAGAAAACTGAGTGTTTTCTAAAGGAAAGATAAGCGGGCGTTACATAACTGATAATAAGATCTTTGTTCGACACATTGAACTGTATTATCTCAATATAAAATAACTAAACAAACACTTTTGACTAAGCATGATTCTCATTCAATGGATCGAAAGAAACGTTTGTAAATAAAGTAGAGCTTTTAGTATACAAACTAACAGTCAAATTGTAAATTCATACATAAAGTAAAAGGCAAACATGTTGAATTTCTTTTATTCAAAATAGAAATAAGTTCAAACGAAGCATAGGTTTCAGTATACAAACCATCATATATGACTATTAAAAAACTCAGAGGTATAACGAGCAATTTTTTCCATACATCTATTTCCCGCAACAATTGATGTAATGCAAAGATTTTCATCTTTCCTTTCATTCACAGTCTCAACATGGTATTCGTTCATTCGAATATCTTTAGAAGTTTAGGAGTTTATTGTATATTTAGGGGAGAACAAGACATCATTTATTATAAATTTTGTTCATTCCATTGTAAATCCAAATCCTTCAACTATCTTTGCAATGTCAAATATTATATTCACTTATGATTTGTTTATTTAAAATGAATGGAGTATTCTTGTTCTTAAGTATAGTTTGAGTTGTCGCGCAATCTGCTAGACACAAATCTCCGTTTTGGACTTTGGAAAGATGAATAATTAAGATCTAAAACAAACAAATGAAGAATATTATCATACAAAACAAAATCAAAATCGACAATGAATTGATTTATTACATCAAGTGATTTGGTACTTACAAAGTAGTTCACATACAAACAAACATAGATACAAACATTATTTCAACAAGCATTCAAACATAAATAAGTTTGGCAGTACACAGAGAAAAGAATAATCAGATTGATCATCAACTTTATCATTGTTATTTCTGGCTTCATCTTAGATCATTATATCAGCAACATCCATTTTCAGTAGGTCATCAATGTCACAGTCATCTTTCATATGTGCCAGATCATTATTATGAAAGTAAAAAATTATAAGATTTATTTGTGACGAAATTAGCTTCAACATTATTCCTTTTTCTCTTTGGCATTCTTTATAATTTTTAATTTTTCTTGAAGTACGACAATACGTTTAAAATACTCTTCTATTTTCCATCGATAACATACATTTTCGTCATTATTTGTCATAGGTTTTTCTTTCACATTAAAAATTTTAAACTTTAGATGGAAACCCCTTCCTCTTCAATAGTTTTGGACTTGACCTAGACCACGTCTAGGACAAATTTCACGACCAGGACCAAATCTACGACTTGGGCCAAATATACAACCTGGACCAAATCCGATCGAGCTCCATAGTATATCCATTTACACCTGCTGGAATTAATGTTTGGATCTTTTTCAGAAAAATATTTCCCTCTACTTTCATGTCTAGATAATATTTCATTACTTCAACGAATCCAGATGAACAAGTGGGTCTAGATTCAAGGTTTTTCCTCAAGATCTCTTTATTTTGTTAGCCCATTAAAACATAAAATTAGCTTAGACTATTTTAAAAAATCGTTTGTCGTATATTGTTGATACTAAAATATATTGGAAGCATGAAATATAGATAATGTTTTTCAAACATATGATAATAACTATAATTTTTCTGATAATTTTAATATTGAATAGATGCAAAAATTTGTCAAATTGTATTTATTTTAAATTCTTCACGTAAATGATATCATGTTGCAGAAAATCATGGCTTTAGCATTATCTTGAGTTGATGATTCAATTGGAGAAAACATTGTTGCTCCTATTCCTCTTGTATCTAGATGAATTTCAACATCTAACATCCACAAAATAATGATTGTTTTTTTTAAGATACTAAGTGCTGCAAATTCAAGCTTGACTAGGTTTGACACGATTAGTAACCATAAAAATTCAATATCAAGCCTAGATTCAAGAAATAAAATTTTTTTATGAAACTAAATACATAATTTAATATTGAAACCAACCAGAACTACTAACAAGAAATAAGATAAAGACCGAATACATAAAGCACAAATTATGAGGTATGGCATATCACCGTGAAAGTCCTCAAAGCATATAGAATAATTAATAAATGATAAATATGAATAATAGAAATAACATTTTCCGAGAGAAAATTGTGTTATTTGAGAGTTTAGAATGCAAGAAGTCTGAGATGATATGTGAAGTTTAGTTGTATATGTAGATGCATAAAATTTGTGATCAATCAAATAACGCCACGTAGAAATTAACATATTAAAAATTAAGTCATATTTTTTATTTATATTTTAGGAATTTCCATAAATTTAATTCTTATATTTAAATAGTTAATTAATTGATATTTTAATATTTTAATTCTTGACCAATCAAATATTGTCAAGTGTCAAATCTTAATTCTTGGTAATAAATCACATGTCTTCTAGAAGATCTTGGGAGATCTAAGTAGATCCAAAAGATCTTATGTGAATCATCATGAATAATCAAATCGCGTCCTACGATTCTTAAATTTGGCAGGGTTATCTCTCATGCATCTATAAGTTCAAGAGCTCTTGAGAATTTCACGACGAGATTCAAGTGTTCTTGAAGATTCAAAGGCGTTCTTGAAGATTTGAAGCAAGATTCAAGCGCGTTCAACCTCAAGACTGACGTTCAATCCGGAAACAAGCTGCAAAGCCTCCAAATAACGTTAGTAAACTCAAAACCGGCGTGGAGACGATTCAAGATCTATTTTGCGGCGAAGACCAAAGACCCGTGTTCTTCGCGTTCTTGGGATATAACGACGTTTGATCCGAAATCAAGGCGTTGGCCTCGGATTAACGTTAATTCAAGTCAAGGAGAAGATCAAGCCGAAGATTTCGCTCCAAGACTAAAAATCGTTCGTGAGAAGAATTAGAGGAATAATAGAGATTGTAACCCGCTTTATTTATTTGATTCGAGAAAATCATTTGAATAATATTTTTCGTGTTTATAAATTCAATACACGAAAAATGTTGTTACAGTATATATAGAGTGACAAATATCGGTTGCAAAAATTGTTACCTAGTCATTGCCAAAATGATGTTATTTTTCATTATGATTATTTTATAAATTTATTAAATATTATTTCTTTTAAAGAATATATTATTGAGTAAGTACAATTATATTAATTAAATATGTACAAATATTAATGTAAGTACAAGAAAAAATATGTACAAATTTCATACCACATTATTAAGTAAATCATTCTAGAGATGATAATACAAATAAAATAATTATTTGTATGTATATTCTAGTTTGCAGCATGGGTTATTTTCTCTTAATCATCAGTAATTTATAAAAATAAATCTCATAGCATCACATATGATTGATTATGACAGAGCCTATTCATCAATAATAATGATGATATACAAGTTACACTGTTTGAGTTATGTGTAATGGAAATATCTAAAAATATTTGCAAGTATTTAGTGAAATATAGATAAAATGATTGGATAAAATTTTCGTTCTAATAATAAATTATAAATTTAGAAAATATAGAAAGAGATGAAGATGAAAAGTCTTCCTAATTTCTTCACTGAATGTTGTATCGCGTTTAGTTACAATGAGGATGATTTTTTCTATAGGTAAGATACCAAACAACCTCAATAATAATATATACAATTCTGCTTGTAAATATGATTCTACTAAGATAAACATACTCTACTGATTCCTACATAATTACAATAATACTAGGTAAAAATCTTATTTACACCCTTGCCTAATCTATAATAAATATTTAAATACATATTAGATATTACAAATTGAGAAATAAATAAAGAGTTGTTTTATGAATCCCATAACTGACAGGATTCATTCCAACAACCCCAATTCCTTTCCCCAATCTAAAACTCTTCCATGGCAATTTACTGCATATCAAGAGCGAAGGTATAAAGGATGTGCGAAGCGGCATAGTTTGGGTCGACCACGATAGCCCGGTCGGCTTCGGCCTCGCTCGGCCGACAAAGGAGATGGCGTCGGAGGTGGAGGATCTGTCTTGGGAGTTTTTAAGGGTTTCACGATCGTGTATTTGAGGATTTTTACTTTCCATTCTCATCGGGACGGAGGAGGTCGAAGACTTTGCCACGCGCTATGAAGATTCCTTGGAGCTTTCTACCAGAAAAGTTATCGTTGATGGTGTAGAGTATGTTGGTGGCCTGTTGAAGGGTAAGGTCGTACAAGTACATGGTTATTGAGAAAGAGCTGAGCATCGAAAATGATATTGTTGGTGTATTTTGGATTTTTTCTTGTAAATTATTTGTTTCTCTTTTGATTTTTTTATGAGAATTTTGGGGAGGAAATCATTGTTCATTGGATTGCTAGAAATGGCGGGTGTAAGAGGAAAAGTTTTAGAATTCCGTCGGTCGGGTGGGAGAGGAATAGACGTGGCCAGGGGTCTCCCGACACGAATCCGGCCCGGTCAAACCTGTTAACCACGGGGCCGAGCCCAACACGGATTTCAACCGTGCTGATCCAAGGTCTTGGTTTTTCGACCCTGGCCCAGGCCGGGTCCGGTCTGGCACCGAAAAAACACATATTTTCAAATTTTCCTTTTTTTTTTTTATTTAGACGGGCAAAACCCGGGCCGACCCAGCCTGTAACGCCCACTTTTGATTTTAAAGAAATTCCGGACTTTCAGAAAAATCAAGATAACATTTTCAAAATTCATTTTTCGAAATCGACTTTAACATGGGCATTATCGTATTTCAAGTCATATTTGAAACCTCATGGGGATTCATTACCCGGTTTATCACATGGACCTCATTGTCCCAAGACATATAACTCAACATGATATTCAATTAACACATCAATCATGAATATCCAAACCAACATAATTCAATGATACGAACCAAAACACAAGTTTTCAAAAGATATCCAGAATCTCAATATTTTCAAAGCACAAGTTTGAAATTATAAATTCATAAACCAGTTCATCATAGCGGAAACAACAAATAAATAATCAGGTCATGAAGATCGACCACCACTCGCTTCACTCTGCCGTCATGCCAGCCCTGCTTAACTTGAAATGTTAATTTCAGGTGGGAGTGAGCACATATGAAAACCCGTGGTGCTCACCACTATGCAAATAAATCATTTATAACCATAGAGAGGTATGGTCGCAGCATGAACATAAAACAATTAATCATGTCTTATCTTCTATTCACACACCATTAACATTACTCCTGTGTACACATCTTTCATTAGCCACGAAAAGGGGATTCATTACCCTAACGGTGGGAGTACATGCCTCACAAGGGCACGGCCTTTCATTGTGACTTAAGGAGACTTGCCTCACAAGGACAACCGTACTACATCGACGGGGACAACCGTACCGACGGCCGAAACAGCATACATCGGTAGGCTACATGGTTCACATGCATACCTCGATCATACCAACATAACAAGACATAAACCATTTACAGCATAGCAATTTAAATAAAACCTACCTGATCGACGACACAAGAAAAATATGCAAGTGTTGTGGATTCTCGTAGCTGATGGGGGCTCGACTCTCCTCAAGCTACCAAAAATATTCAAGTAAATATATCTACTCAGATAATAATTAAATATTCAATCACATGTATCATACTTAATATAATACTAATTGAGGGATAATCACTCAAGTCCAAGTATGCTAACTTATTTTAACAAAATATGCTAAAGGAACCCTCAAACCTCAAGAATTTTATAAAATCATATAAAACTCCACAAATGCTGAAACTTAGTAGTTAAATACTTCACATATACATGTATTATTAGTTAAAATTTCATCTCATTTGAAAATCAATAGCTTGGTCAACACGAATATCGAATATAACATATAAACATGTGATATATATGCATATTTTCAAAGAATTTTATAAAATCCCACACTTATCATATGGAGCTGAAACTTGGTGATCTTGATCACAACATATTCAAGACATGCATGTAAAATTCGCTCTTTAATATCTCAAGTATGAATTGAGTACTCTAGCAACAAACTTCAACTTGACATGCATACGGTCTATCATTTTTAACTCATTCATTTCGCAACATAAAATTCTGAAATTTGGTAGTCACACTCTCAACATATAGGTAGATATGTTATAAAAATTTCACATTTTTATCACGCATATATTTCAAGTTATTTGAATTTAAAGTCGCTGCTGAAACAAGGCACATAAATTCAACTTGCATGCTTAACTTCAAAAATCTATAACTTGAGCTATACTAGGCCAAATGACTTGATTCTTTTTCCTATGTACTCAGCATTTGCACATAAATTAGCCATATAAAGTATACATTTTCAGGTTTTGCATAGCATACTCAAAATCGAATGTAAACAACACATATAGAATATTCATGCGAGCTGGGATAACTTAATCATATTGCATGCTTATAAACACTTATTAACTAAACATATATGGCATAAAGATACATCATTAAACCCTTTATCTCCTCTCTATCATGTTATAAAAAGAGTTTATCATACCAACCTCTTAAGCTCTCAAGAAACCGCAAGGAAAGAAGGTAACTCGGTTAATGGCTCTCGACAAGCTTGCTATTGCTCGGTTTAATGCTAAATTGTAATATGACTGAGTATTTGAGAGCGTAAAAGAGTAAAAGAAATTCTGATTTTGTGGGTCTCAAAATAATGATGGAAGAGGGGTTTATATAGTGTCTTGAAGAGACATAAGAGCATGACATGGGGACATAAGATCTAGATCCAATCTACATCTACCTCACATGAATTTGTCAACTAATTGATGCTAATGTAACATGCTTGATATGGCTGATGAATCACGTCCATGTGAAGGAAATGAGATGGAAATAGCTTAACTTAATGCTCTTGAAGTCTTAACAATACATAATCATGCGATTACATGAAAAGTAACATGGTTTAAGTTGACAAAAACAATCAAATATGCCATTTCTTATAATGTCATTGTCATTGCACTAAAAAATCCGATTTTATCATCTTTTAAACTTGTAAAAATCATGCTCACTTTGGTCTTGATGTTTACTACAAAAGAGGAGAGGAAAAATAAATTTTACGGAACCAAATTCGGACTTAAAATACATCTATAACCGAAAACCAAAGAATTTGACTATAATTTGAGTTTTTCTCTAAATAAAACTTTTTTGGTTGGTTTTGATGGCTGCAAATACAATTAAAGAGCTGAAATATAATGGTCTTACGGATCGCAAGGGTTCAAAACAAATTAAAACGAACCACAATTCCGCTTACACGATTAAAATGAAAATTCAAACGACGATCGATAAAATAAAATCGAACGAGCTATATAATTATATTATCCACATAATAATATAATATATAATCACATAATCAAGGTATATAAATAATAAAATAAAATTCCATTAATTAAAATAAAATCAGAAAAATCTAATATTCAAACAGGGCATTACAATCTATCTTCCTTAAAATATTTCTGTCCTCGGAAATGCTAAACTAAAGTACAAATCCTAACTCGAAATATGAGTCAAAGCTAAAGTATCTAGCTCGGAACTCTTCTTCGCTTTCCCTAATGGCCTCGGCCTTGGGAAGAAACTACTACTCAATTCATTAATTGATTACTCTCAAGTGTTCCGATGACAAATCCAAAACGATAAACTAGTATATTGGCTTGACTAGAGTCGAAAGGCTGGAGAACTAAGTCATAATTACTGTGCTAGTGTGGTTTACCTTGTCAGATTGATTGGTACTGCCCGATTATAACACAATTTAACCGCTCGAGAGTAAATATATCTTACCGTCAATCATGCAAATCGTCAATGATAATATCGGTAACCATCACAATAATTCATTGTGATATCATTATTACCGACATCTCACATCTTAATCACATAAGTGTCGGCTCCAGGTTCTTCCCGTCGATACTAACACTCAAACCTCGAAACAATGAATCAGTAGCGATCGTCTTTCCCGAGGCTAGGCTAACCTCGAGAGAGTCCACCTTATTGAAGGATCTAATTCCTAACGCTTGCATGAAATTGGGATGAAACAAAGGAATGGGTGGCACCGGTATCACCCAAAGAAAAAATGGGTACATTGGATATATAAAGCATGCCAGACATGGTACCTGCGTTGTTCGCTGCCTCATCATGGCTTAGAGTGTAAAAGCAGGCCTGACCTCCTGTCTTTTGCTGGAACGGTGGCGGCGGGTGTCCGAGGTGCTGCTGGGGTGGTGATGGAAGTTGCTGCTGCTGCGTGTACGACCCTTACTGCTGCCTCTTCGGCTCGGGCCACATGTTAGCATAGTGACCGAGATGGTGACAGTTGTAGCAGGACCTCTGGGCAGCTCTAAACTCCCCACAATGATACTTGTCGTAGTTAGCACACCCCTGATTGGAGGTGGGGCGATTATCGCGTCTGTCGGATCCTCCACATTTCCCTTTTCAGTTGTCTCGGTGAGGGGGGTCGGCCTTATTTTTGTTCGAGCTAGAGCCGGGCTGAACGGCGGTGATAGGCTGCACAAGCTGTGCATGAGGGTGGAAGGGTGCAGAGGCAAAAAGGGATTGACAGCTCTCCAACTGCTGAGCACGGATCACGATTTCTCCATAGGGAAGGTTTCCCTAGCTGGTAAGGTGCATGCAAAGGTCAGGGCGGAGTCCGTCACGGAATTGGACAGCTTTCTTCATCTCCGTGTCCACCAAGTGGGGTGCAAAGACGCTCATGCGGGTGAAGTCCCGCTCATATTCCTCAACCGTCCGGGTTCCTTGACGGAGATCCCAGAACTCACGCTCCATCTTTTTGTGGTAGCTTTGGGGATAGTACTTCTCACGCACTACCTCCTTCATTCTATCCCAGGTGAGATTGGTCAACTCACCCGGCCTCAGCCTCCAGTGGTCGGACCACTAGTTAGCAGCATCTCCGTTCAGCTGATAATGGGCACATACAACTTTCTGTGCATTAGTGCAGTGTAGGAGATCGAAGATTCGTTCTAGTTTGCGAATCCATTCAGTCACGGCCGTCGGCCCCTCAACTCTAGTAAAAGTCGGTGGGTTCACGCTGGAATTTGATGACATTCTCGCAGTGACTGTCAGCAGGGTTAGGTGCCAGCTCTTGGGGAGGAGGCTGCTGCGGGGGAGGCTGCTGATTACGAGCTTCTCGTACCGTAGTTCTATATTTTATAAGCCGAAAATTTAAGCACCGGCTTTAATCACTAGAGTCATCATTGAACGA